TTGGGCATCCTAACGTGTTTTCTGACGATGATCCCATGGATGGATGGATGGATGGCATCGCACCTATTTGGGAGAAAAGGAAGCAGAGGCACAGAGATGTTGTCACTCAGAAACCATGGCGATGTCTCTTTAAGTTATTACAAGAGTTCCAATGTCGGAGGGTCAGCGACAAAGCTGGGACCTCTCTCTGACCTCGGGTGGGAGAAGCCACGTTCTCTTGAGGTCATTCAAGGTCATACAGTTGGGACTGTGGGTGGGCAGGGTACTGATCCAAGTATTTATAGTGCTTCACGTAGGCATCCGGTTGGCAAGAGGATTCTAGGCTGGGGAGGGGCCCGAGATCCTGCGCGCTAACGAGGGTTTCTGGAAAATGTCTTTGGGGGTAAAACAGACTTAGCCTGGGGCAGGAAACTGGGCCTCGGTGTTCTCACGTCTAGAATGGGTCTTACCCCTGCTGCAGGGCAGGTGCCGAGATGCAAGGAGACGGCGCCTGCAGCCTCAGCAGAGCCCAGGGCCGGACCCAGAGTGGGCGCCCCGAGATATTGGCTTAGTGCTCCTACTGTTATTTCTGGCTCTGGGCCTCTGTGAGAGCTCTCTCACTGCTCGCAGGCAGCATATTCCAACCTCAGGATGCTCCCCCCGCCTCCACTCCACCCTACCCCTGGAGCAAAAATCAGGATTCACTGTGTCATCTCAAACGGCACCCACGAACCGTTTCACGTTCAATTTCCCCATCAAATTCACAGGCACGTATCACATGCCATTATTTCACTTCCTAATGGTCTATGCAGTGGAATTGTAAGTAGGACATTTCTTCATGCCCTTGGCATTCCCGACTCTTTGAAACTCCCTTTCCTGGTGACTACAGCACGCCTTGTCATCTCCAAAACCCTGGCAGCGCCCGGCCCTGGCCTCTGCTTGTCCCAGGACGTAAGTGAACAACAGCGACAATGTCTCCCTGGAAAGCAGTGTCAGCCTCCCTCGGGTTTCCGTGGAGGTAAAAACTCTGGCAGCCGACAGCAGGGTAGGCTGGGGGCGGGGGCACAGGACCAAGGTCAAAGACTTGACCTGAGCCCCACCTGCGTACTACTTGCAAGCTGTGCGACCTGGGCCAAGATCATCACCTCACCTCTTGGGGGCCCCGGTGTCCCCACCTACAAAATAACGGTGACAACGCGGCCCACGCAGCGTGGTCCAATCAGAAGTGCCGCTCACAGGCTGTGCCCGCCACGGCTCTTTGGAGGTCATGTGAGTAGAAGGCTTGACGGGACGTGCTGGAAGGGTCAGCAGGCGGCGTTCACCACGGCGGGTCCAGCAGGGTCCCTGTTTGGCCTCACCTTTGCCGGCTCGGATTCCTACTGTGCCAGCATCCCTAGACGGAGCTGAACACCAGAGCCCAGCAGCATAGTCTATATTTTATTGCCTGCTAAGGCACGGCGCTGCCTGCAGCAGAGTGGTGCAGGGTTGAAAGGCCCTTGCGATACTAAGCAACTGGTTCCCAAGTGGCAGACAGGACAGGAGGGTCCTGGAGGAATGGCAGCCAGGCTGGTAGGGTTGGGAAAGTGGCTAGAATGGGAAGATTTCAGCATTTAACAACCCACGTGGAGGTGGCGGTGCACCCCGGCTGGGAGCGCGAGCCTGGGGATCCTGCACACAAGGAAGCCCATCTGGAGGTCAAGGAGAGCTTGTGGAGGACAGACCCCTGGGTAAGGGGGGGTCCACCAATACACCGCCAGATACTTCCTGTACTCCCTCGGGTTGAGCAGGAATTTGTCCTTGGCTTGAGGACAAGCCTCCTCCCGCCGAGGCCGACCCAGATGCCCTGTGCTCTGGTCCCAGCTACGCAGACTTTCCCTCACTAGGCCTTGGCCTCCTCATCGAGCAGACCAGGATCCTCTTATCGCTGTGTGTGCATGTGTATGCACGTATGTGCCCACGGGTGTGTGCGTGCACGTGTACACTTGTAAAAGGGCATAGTCCTCCCCGTCTCCCTCCTTGGGAAACGCAGACCGTTGAGCAGGCCGGCGGAGGGACCAGCACCACCGAATTGGAGCTAACACTGGCGGACGGGCCTGTTTATTTGCATGGCAGGCGGTTGGCTCTATCTCATCCACCCCGAGCCCACCCGAGACTTCTCTGCTTGTCCCACCAGCGCGGAGAGGCCAGATTGGCGGCGCGCCGGATACAGACTTCCAATTATCTTTTAATTTCGCTCCCGTCTTCATCTGTTCATTTCACTTTTTCCAAACAGACCGGGATGGGGGGGTGTTGGGGGGGGGACACCGTAATTTACGGAGCTTGAAGCAGCTGGTGGAGTGTGGTGCTCACCTGCAGGATGCCAGGAGACCTGGAGGTAGAGCCGAGAGCTCACTCCCAGCCGCCCTGCAGGGGAGCTCGCCACCCCTTAGAGGCCCCCACGTCCTGGTTCTTTTGTCTTCTGGTCCTCTGACTCCGGAGAGGCTATATCCTCTTGTTTTCTGTATGGTGGACGCAGGCAGCAGCAACCCAGCTGAGCTAACAGGTGAACTCCCAGGATTAACTCGGTTTGGTCCCCGCAGGCGGCAAATGACTCACCCAGGAGCGCACCTTTCATATGCAAATGAGCCAACCCAAAGCAGAGCCACAATCACCTGCTTTATCAGACCCTCTCGAGGCACCTGTACACCAGGGCCCACAGTCCCCGGGGAATTACTCCAAGCCCAGGGATGAGACAAATGAAAGACAGCCCTGGGCCCCCTGAAATTATTCAGAGTAGCCGATCCTAAATCTCTTCTCCTTGTCTTGCCCACTCCTTCCCATGAAAACCACAGTAATGTACCCATTCTGTCCTCTTGCCCTGTCTGCCTCCTTCCTGACCCCAGTGCCTTCCCACGAGGCCCTGTGTGGTGCGACGTGGGGGACCCTTCTGGGAATTGTGAGTACCAACTCTCTCTTCTCTGGCAGGTGTCTCCTGGAAGCAGGCTGCACCCCGGGGAAGCCCCATCGCCCGCCGTGCTCGCCGTGCTCGGCTTGTTTTACTTCGGCCCTCCAACAGGGAAGGTCTCAGGAAATGCCAGGCCAAGAGTCAAACCAGTGCCACCTGACACAGCGCCCACCCCCTCCCTCCACACACAGCCTGCACCTGCCCCATGCCCCAGTCTGGAGATGTCCAGGCCCCATCATGGTGGCCACGCCCCTGTGTCCTCAGACCTGCTATTTCTCTCCCCTTGGTCTTCCCTGTTCTGGCCACATCCACACTCGGCGCTATCCCGGTGCCCCTCCCACGGAAACCCTCACCAACGAGCATCACAACCCCCAACCATCCTCCTGCTCAGCATCGGCTCCCCGAGCTCGCAGCCCGCCGGGGTGCCCTGTGTAACCCGTGTCATCCTACCAGCAAGGGGCCTGTCCATGCTGAGCCTCTGCTGAATATTTGTGCAATCACTCCGTCTGCACCCCCCTCCTTCCTTTATCAATACTCGATGCTCAACACCTATTTCTGGAATACTCCTTTGACCTCTCTTCTGATGCCCCTGGCTCTGGCCTCCCTGACCGTGGTACTTTGTCAATGAGCACCTGTTGACAAGTCACCTCATTAACTTTTCCTCCGTGATACAGTGTGGCTTGGTCATATTTCAGGGCCTTGTGCCACCTTATGAGTCAGGATGTAAGGCCCCTCGGGGCTGGGACTGTGTTTTCTGCTCCCAGGGGCCCTTCTTCCACTCCCCTGCCACCCCAGGGGACCCGTTTGGCCACACCCAGTGCCCAGGATCAAGTTTCCAAACAGAAAGAGTGATTGTCTGACTCAAAAGGTTTAAGCTGGAGTCACAGAGAGAGTGCTCCCCGCGCAGTGGAGTCTTTATTGGGTGGGAAGCAGCATGCTGAAGGGGCCGACCCCCTGCTCACTTGGTGGCATCTGGAGAGGACAAGGCCAGGTCACAGCGTTGTCACCCAAGGGGCATCCCAGAAGTCTGTCCCTCTCCAAGGGTATGGGAGTCCCAAAGCTGCCCCTACCGCTGAAATGGTAGCTTGGCCAGTGGAGGGGAGGGGGCAAATCCTGGATTCACCACTGGACAAATAAATCATTTGTATGACCCTTTATACCCTTCACACCTGGTCCTCCCATTCCCAGAGGAAGAGGAATGATCCACGCAGCCAGAGACCTGTTTATACATCAAGACTCTTCCACTCACAGTCTACGTGACGTTGGCAGATACCTGTTAGCCTGTGTCCTCACCTGGAGGATGAGGGCGATGACAGCATCTGCCTCCCCCCCCCCATTACCAGGAGGACAAAATGATCTTATGTATGCAAAGTAACCCCACTCCCCATTTCCAGTCACTGGCCCTGATGAAACAAAGTGCTCACCCACCCACCTGCACCCCGGTGATAAAAGGAATCCTCAGCAGCCAAGTAGCAAAGTGGGCTTACTTTTCATTCCTAGACTCAGGGAAGTGAGGTGGTTGTCAGACAGATTTCCTGGGAGACACCCCAAAACTATGGAATCAGAAAGCCCGGGAGCAGAGCATGGAGATGTGCATTCCTGACAAGCACCCCAGGGGCTCGCATGCCCATTATATTCCATCCGAATCACTATTTTGACCACGAGGAAAAGAAATGGGGGGAACCCCACTTCCAGTCGCCTGCAGAACAGGCTGCGGAGGGCTGACTTCCCGGGAAAACCATACCTGGTGAGTGAAGTCTGTAAAACCCTGGACTCTGGACTCTGGAAACAGGTATGCGAGTCCCCATTTGCAAGCCAAGGGACATGAGCTTGGAGCTGCCATAAAACGGGGGTGACAACTGCATCTCTCCCCAACGGGATGGTAGGCATCCGATGAGACTCATCCAGAGTGCCCACCTCCATTCTACCCGCGGAAAGGCACGGTGCATGCTGGCAGTTGTCCCAACTGTGCTCGGCCCAGCAGATCAGAGTGCACTTTGACCCCCGGCCTGTGTGCCAAAGGCTGAAGGAGACACGCCAGAGAGAACAAGAGACCCAGAGAAGGGGAAGCCAGCTCTGGAAGGATCGAGGCACCGGGGAAGAAGGCTTGGGAAGCACAGCCTTGGACCCAACTCTGAAGAGCCAGAGGAATGAGGACCAGCGGGCACCAGGGAGGTCGACCTGGGTCAGCACTCAGATGAGCTCGAAGGGTAAGCTGAGGGTGGACGTGGAGGCTTTGAACACCGGTGTGGACAGTCAGGAGTTTCTCTGCAAGTCAAGATTTTGGGGTCAAATTCCTCCCAGATATGTGTGTCCTTTGGCCCACAGAGTGGTGGGTTGTTGTTGTTGTTGTTGTTGTTGTTGTTTTCCTCCTTTTTTAATTACATACCAGCATTTAGACTCCAAGAGTGATCTGGGTATGACCTAGACGCTAAGGGTCTCCGACACAGGGGGGATGAGGCCCTGTGGGGCAGGTCAGCCACTCTACCTGCTGGCCCCATAGGCAGCACGAGTCTGAGAGCCCTGCCCTGGCCTCTGGGTGCCTGGAGAGCACCTTGGTCTGGAGAGGTGCAGAATTAGAGCTGTGCTCCAGGTCCAGCTGGTGACCATTAATATGAGTGATAATGACCCCAAGGAGGAGGAGAAAGAGGAGAGGAAGAGGATTGGCTGATGTTGCCTGAGCTTTCACGAGGTGGAGGCAGTCTAGATCTGGAACCCACAGCACTGGTGAGATGGGGGCGAGTGACTCTCCCTTGGCCTCTCACCAGAGGACGTTGTCTGTCTTCGAGGGCTAGGAGGTGCCACACGTCTAGCCCTGATTTGGGCACTAATGCCCGGTGCTTTCCCCATCTGCTCTCAGGAGGGCCAGAGGGAGGACAGAGGCACTCACAGGCAGGCCAGGTGGCTTGGCTGCCATCCCGGGCTCAGCCTTCCCTGCTGCTAATCTCGGACCTCCCCGCCGGGACAAGCAGACCCCATCAGGAAGGAAACAGACAGGGAGGATCTCATGACACACCTGCCACGGCTCCACCTGTCTCGCAGCTCACCACACCCAACACTCGGAGCCCAGTGGATTTGCAAAAGAGAAAGTAAAACACACACACATGTAATAACCAACCCCGTGCATTTCCTGGCATCGGCTGACTGTTTGGTCAAGAGCTTCCTCCCTCTTCGTGTACCTGCTGGATACTCCTAACATCCTTCAGCTGCTGCCGGCTAGGAGGCCGATCACAAGCTCAGCCCTGGGGCACAACCCCCACTCCCACCCCCAGGAAAAGCATCGAAGCATCCGAGGAGGCCAGCGCCGAGATCTGTTGGCCCTGAGCCCGGTGGCCACCCGCTGCCAGCTCAAAGTCACCTTTGCTCCACCACCCACCGGCCACTGGCTAACCAGAGCCAGCCCAGAACCCCCTCCAGCTTGGCTCGGCAGGAACCAGGAACCGGGCCCTATTGGGCAATCATTAATAGGATTCTTGACATTCTTCAGCCGCGGGTCTGCTTTGGGAAGCATGCTCCCCGGAAGAGGAGGAGCGGAGGCCCAGGACTGGCATTTGGACATGCAGCTGGCAGGCAAGGTGGTGCTGTCCGCCGCTGTCCTGCTCCTGCTGACCATAGCCTACAGGCTGTACAAGTCGAGGCCTGCCCAGGCCCCGCCGCGGGGCAGAAACACCAAGGCCGAGGCCAAGGAGGAGGCCCAGGGCTCCGGGCAGCCTGCAGCCCAGGGAGCTGCTCCCGGGGCACCGCACGGTGCACTGAGACGCCGGAGGGGAAGCCAGGGAGCCAGAGCAGCGCCGGGCTGCGGCTGCGAGAAGCAGGGGGACTCCCGAGTCCCAGCAACAGGACCTTCTCCTGAAGACTCAGAGGCCCAAGAGGCTCAGGAGCCCGAGAAGGACGGCGCTGGTGAGGAAGGGGGTGGGCAGTGCCCAGACTCTGGGCTGGCACCTCCTCGCTGCAGTGGCCTGGGGGTCGGAACAGCTGCTGGCGGTAAGCCTGAGCCGCCCCGGCACCCCCATTTGGGCCGCGAATCCCAAAGCTCCCCCGCAGCAGACAGCAGCCGTGCGAGTGGCGAGTCTGCCCCTTGGCAGGACGGCGGCCCCCCCGGGCAGCTGGGACCCGGGCAGCAGGACCCCGCCCCTACCAACTGGGCAGCCCACATGGAAGGCAAGAGTGACATGAGCAAGAGTTGGATCTTCACCCGCAGGGAAGAGGCCGGGGCCCTCCGGGCCGCCGGGGACCTGGGCCTGATCCTGCATCAGCGCGAGGGGGCCACCAGCGCCTCCTACACCTACTGGTCAGTGACCCGGGTGCGTGTGGAGGAGGAGGTGGAGGGGATCGGGCCCAGGCTGAAGGGCAAGGTATATGATTACTATGTGGAATCCACCTCCCGGGCCAGCTCCAAGGGCAGGCTGACCCCCAGATCGGCTGCCAGGACTGAGGCCCCACCCCCTGTGCCCCTGCCAGGCCCCTTGGAGACAGGGACGGCGTCAGGAGGCCACGCCGATGACCGGGAAGGTGGAGCCCACACACCCACCACCCCCCAGCCTGCGCCGTCACCCTCCACGCAAGGCTTCAGCAGGAAGGACAGCCTGCTCCAGATCACGGAGAACCCGGAGCTCCAGCTGCAGCTCGATGGCTTCGGGGCCACCAGGCCCTCCTGCCCAGATGGGAGCAACCGGCCCGGCTGCCCCCTGCCCCCCGCGTCTCTCGGGGCCGGCTCGGCCGGAAGCAGCAGGGAGCCCTGCGTGCAGCTCGTGGCGGGGACCAATTTCTTCCACCTGCCGCTGGCCCCTGGCTCGGCTCCGGATGTGCACCTGGATCTGGGCAACTGCTACCAGGTACTGACCTTGGCCAAGAGGCAGAAGCTGGAGGCGCTGAAGGAGGCGGCCTACAAGGTGATGAGCGACAACTATCTCCAGGTCCTGCGCAGCCCGGACATCTACGGCTGCCTGAGCGGGACGGAGCGGGAGCTGATCCTCCAGCGGCGGCTACGTGGCCGCAGGCACCTGGTGGTGGCCGATGTGTGCCCCCCGGGGGACTCGGGCCGTCTCTGCTGCTACGATGAGGAGCGGGACGTCTGGTGCCCACTGGCCTGCCTGCCCCCCGAGGCTGTGTCCCGGGGCTGTGCCCTCTGCAGTCTCTTCAACTATCTCTTCGTGGTGTCCGGCTGCCAGGGGTCTGGGCCCCAGCCCTCCAACCGCGTCTTCTGCTACAACCCGCTGACGGGGATCTGGAGCGAGGTGTGCCCGCTGAACCAGGCCCGGCCGCACTGCCGGCTGGTGGCCCTGGACGGCCGCCTGTACGCCATCGGGGGCGAGTGTCTGAACACGGTGGAATGCTACGACCCCCGCCAGGATCGCTGGACCTTTGTCCCACCGCTCCCCAACGACACCTTCGCGCTGGCACACACGGCCACAGCCTGCGCCGGTGACATCTTCGTCACGGGCGGGACCCTGCGCTACCTGCTGCTGCGCTTCTCGGCCCGGGAGCAGCGCTGGCAGGCAGGCCCCACGGGCGGCGGCAAGGACCGCACGGCCGAGATGGTGGCGGTCAACGGCTTTCTCTACCGTTTTGACCTCAACCGCAGCCTGGGCATCAGCGTGTACCGCTGCAGCGCCAGCGCCCGCCTCTGGTACGAGTGCGCCACGTACCGGACGCCCTACCCCGACGCCTTCCAGTGCGCGGTGGTGGGCGACCTCGTGTACTGTGTGGGGCGCCAGCGCACGCTCTGCTTCCTGGCCGACCACATCTCGCCCAGGTTCCTGCCCAAGGAGCTGCAGAGCTTCCCCTCCCCGCGGGGCACCCTCCTGCCCGCCGTCCTGACCGTGCCCGGCCCCAATGTGCCGCAGACCAGGGTCTAGCCACCCTCCTGCCGCACCTCTGCTGCCAAACCGGGAAGCAGAAAGCACCCCCGACCTGCCGCTCCGCTCCGTGGGCCATTTCTGGGAGAGCAGGCCGCTCAGGCGTTTGGCCAGCAAGGGGTGAATTCTAATCCCACATGCTCTGCTGGCCGGGGCCCTCGGATGCGGCTTTGCTGTCGGTGGGATGCAGAAGTGCAGCGTGAAAATGGAACCAGGGCCTGGTGCCCTGAGGCTGAGGGCAGCCACGTGTGCAGGGATGAGTCCCCCCTTGTTTCAAATCTAAATTGTTGGGGGAAGGGCTGTCAGAACCTCGCCAAAGTTCAGGGGTGCAGCCCAATCCCAACCACAGTTCCTAGTGCCAGGTGATCCCCAATAACCTCCTCGAGCCAACCCTGCTGGAGGTGGGCCAGCTCCCTATAAACCACTACGGTGCCTTCCTAAACACTGGCCACTAAGCCCCTAACTCCAGAGTTCCAGAAACACCTGGGACACACAGGGGTGTGGTTCTGGTTGTGCCAAGAGCCCTGGGGAGCCCCGGGGGGGCCCGGCCAGAGGAGAGATGGTTGGAGAAGTAGAACAGCTGCAGTGGGAGCTGCCCATGGGACCCTTTCCTGCAGAGTAAATTGACCCTTACCCATTTCACTTTCTCTTATTACCTGGAATTCTAGTCTACTAGGAGGAGACGCCTCCAATTAGCAGCCATTTGAAAACATACATCTTGGGACACCTGGGTGGATCCCAGGGTCCGGGGATCAAGTCCTGAATCGGGCTCCCTACATGGAGCCTGCTTCTCCCTCTGCCTGTGTCTCTGCCTCTCTCTCTGTCTCTCATGAATAGATAGATAAAATCCTTCCAAAAAAAAGAAAGAAAAGAAAGAAAGAAAAGAAAAGAAAAGAAAAGAAAAAAAAGAAAAGAAAAGAAGAAAAGAAAAGATACATCTTGTAGTGGTCCACGAAGAACCCAAGGGATTCCACATCTGAGGTCTCCGGAGAGGGAGGAGGAGATGTGATCTGAGGGCACCACCCCCCCTCCGTCCTCCTCTGAGCTCCCCTGCTTGGACGCGGTGATAAGTGACCACTGACTCCCGCCCCAGATCTCAGAGCCTGCACGAAACAGCTGTCCAAACAACACAGCCCTCACCTCGGGGAGCAGGGGCAGCCACCACCAGGCACCCGTCCCGGGCTGGTGAGAGATGATGGCATAATTTCTCCTCCCTGCCTGTGCCACGTAGTCACCTGGTCTGCCTGGTTGGACAGGAGAGCAGGGAAGGGCAGGTCCATGCGGGAGCTGAGGACCTAGAATAGTCCAGTTGCCCATTCTTCCTGGAGGGAAGGGAGAGAGACCGGTCAGATCTACTGCCACAGCCCCGTCTCCTCGCTGAGGACGACGCACACACAGAAGGGCGGGCAGCGATGCTCCTGGGGCCAACCAGAAGCCAGGGCAGCTGGGACCCCTCCTAAAGTGACAAACAGCCTGGAGGAAAACGGTAGAGATGGGGGTGCAGCAGGGCAGGCCTGGCAAGTGGGGAGCTAAGGATGCTTTGGATTTCAGCGTTCCTACCTTGAAAATGGGAAGGACGATTCGCAGCCTTCTCTGCCAGAGAAATGAGAACCCCGCAGAATAAATCCTTCCCAAATTCCCCTGGGGGTCTGGACAGGCGCTCTCGTTCACTGCAGCTGCCAGGGCTGAGCCAGGGTCTTCTGGAAAACGTGCAATTAGAGCAAGGAATACCGGGGAGGTTGGCGTGGAGACGAGAACTGTTATTGGACCACTCAAGGCCACTGTCCCCATTCTAGGGCCTAGAAGGTGAGGCTGCCTACTTTACTTCTAAATTGGAGCCTCGTGACCCCACAGCCCCTGCCAAGGCCGTGTTCAAGCTCAGAGCCAACACTCAAGCAAGAGCCTCCAAGGGACCCTTGGCGGGGAAGCAAGGTAACTCAATGACAGGACTGAGAGGCTGTGTTGGCATCACGATGCCAGGCTGGGGGTTGTTTGGACAACAAACATGAGGTGAACCCCATGTGGGAGCTGGAGGCAGATGGAGCCAGATCCAGCCCCCAATGGCAGGCCTCCAGCGAGAAGCCAGGCAATGGACTAGACTACAACTAAGCAGGGAGACCATGGGGGGGGGGCGCTCCAAGCCCAGGGTGAACTAGGGATCACTCCAGAAAACTTTTCAGAGCCCCCCTGCCTGGGCCATGGTCCTGTGGTCGGGAACAGGGAAACAGCGGAATTCGTTCCAGACCCAGTGATGGTGGATATGGTCTTCAGGATGAAGGGAGGGTTGAGATGGAAAGTACGGACACATCTCATCCACCTCCCTGTGGTCCTGGGCAGACATCACTAATCGATCGCCTTATCTTTTCATGTTGAGCCTCAGAACCGGTCTGACCCAGGTGAGAGCTGGTACATTTCTCATCACTGGCCTGGGTGTCCAGAGCTAGCATCAGGGCCATCATGGTAGATAGAGCACGGTAGTTCGGGGGGCCTGCAAAGACCACCTGGGGCCGACAGTCAGGATTCACTCGTGGAACATTTTTTAGGCCAGGTACTGTTCCAGGTGCTGGGTATGCGGAAGGTCCCTGCCCTAACACGGCCCACATCCTGGTGGAGGAAAATAGGTAATTTTTATAAACAAATGCCTAAACAAATGAATGGAACCTATGCTGCACACATGCTAGGAAGGCAGGGGAGGCGGGGAGGTAGCATAATGCCATCGAGGGCAGGGCTGCCTCCGAGGAGCTCCACCTCTGCGTGAAGAGGACAGGAAGCCAGCTATCCTGCTCTAGCCATTCCTGCAAGGGAGAGAATCCCGTTCTGCCAAACATTAGGAAGGAGGCTCCTCGCAGGGAGGTAAGCCACCTTCGCAGGAGAGAAGCAGGGAGCACGCATTTAAGGGGAGAGTCCAGATCACACGCCACCGCCACCCCTGAGTGTGTCCGGGTGTCAGCCTGCCCGTGGTCCTCCATGGGGTCAGAGTCTAGGATCGGCCCTCGGCCTCGTGTGATAGCCTTGTCTGGCCACCTCAAGCCCTCAGCCTCACGGGGGGCCTTGTCCCTTGGCTTCTCCTTGGGTCATCCGTCCTGCTTCCCCAAGAAGTGTTTGTTCTTTATAATACAACAACAAAAAAAACCCCAACCCTTCAGTCTGGGTTGCTTTCCACGTTAGGCCAACCACGACATTGTAGGAAAGAAATTTGGAAAATACAGAAGTACAAAAAAAAAAAAAAAAATCTCCCTAGTTTCACCACCCAGAGACAACCCCCTCTGCGGTGTGTGTCCCTCCAGCCTGGGCATCCTTTTCTGTGGCTTGATTTTTGCCTACGTGTGATTATGCCCAAGTTACAATTCAGATGCTTCCTTTTTTTCACTCAGCTTTTTAGTATATGCATTTCCCGTGTTGCTACAAACCCTCGGCAAACATCATTTCAATAGGTGCAGGATGCTCCATCGAGTGGCTGTACCACGGTTTATTTAAACACTCTCTCCTCCTATCAGGCCTGTGGATTTTTTTTCCCCCTGTTGGTTTCTTTTTCCATCATAAATAAATCGTCCTTTGTTTTCCTGTTCCTCTCTGTCTGGGGCCTCCATCAATATTTACAAGAGAAGCCCAGTCTAGGGCTGGTCTGGAATACGGGGCTGCGGAAGCGAGCTTAGAAGCCACAGCATCTGCCCGGGGCTAGGCCCGGCCGCACTCTGAATGTGGGGCATGGGGCTGCTCTTGGCAATGCCCCGCCAGGAAGGAAGGCTGCCTAGAGGGGCCGTCCCTGGTGCCCCACGGCTTGCTGGAGCCAGGATATAGGATAGGGGCCGTATTTCTAGAGCCCCTGCTCGGTATATGCCAAGCACTGGACTAGATGCGAAATTTCTACACATCACTTCACTGACCCTGATGACAACCCCATTGTACAGGAGACAAAATTGAGGCTCGTGGAGTTCAAGGAGACTCACCTTCGTGGCAAAGATCCAAGACCCTCAGTTTCCTTCAAAACACTCTTGAACCTGACCTGCCCACTCATGCATTCCATTCCCCTCTCTTGAAGCACAGGGGCCAAGAGCTCGGTGGGCATCAGCCATCCCCTGGGCCTCTCCCGACCCCTCCCCAACTCACACTATCACGGATGCTCCATCCTTGACCTTTGAACTCTAAGAAAATATTCCTCTTTTTTTTTTTTTTTTAGGATTTATGTATTTCTTTTAGAAGGCGGGGAGGGGCAGAGGGAGAGGGAGAGAGAGTCTCAAGCAGACTCCACGCTGAGCGTGGAACCCGACTCAGAGTTTGATCTCACGACCCTGAGAGATCAGACCTGCGCTGAAATCAAGGCTCGGATGCTTAGCCAACTGAGCCATCCAGGTGCCCCTCAAAGAAGATATCCTTAAACTCTCCGATCCTCAATGTCTGCATCTGCAAAATAGGTTTGCCCCCACCAGCCTCAAGACGATGCTGTGTGAACTCACAAGCGAATGTGCATGAAGCACCCCGACCAGGGACTGCTCCAGGGTGGTCTCAGAAGTACCACAGGCTTCTGCAGGGGCCAGCTGGGAGGAGGAGTCTGCTGGTTTCCCCCGCTCCCCTTTCTCAGCATCCCAGCTCCAGAGGAAGGTTGTCTAACATTTAACCTGCAGGAGCCCTGTCTGGCTTGACAAGATCTGGGCGCTTGGGGGAGGAGGGGGCGGCGCTCAAGTTATTCATGCCTTACCCTATTCGGATTTTGAGGCCCTGTACCTGTTCCCTCCCCTTCCACAGCAGCTGAGGGCCTGATTGGAGTCTCCCCAGGCTCAAAGCCCTAAGCGTTTTCCCAGTGCGCTGGGCAGTGCAAGGGAGCCTCGGGAGCTGCTCAGAGCTCCCTGGAGATCTTGAGGAGGTGCAGCGGGGAGGGGGCTCCTTTCGTTTACAGATGGGGTGAGGGTCCCTCAGAGCCATCGGAGCCCCGCACTGTGTCTGGCCTGCGGGTACTTAGAGTCATGACAGGTATGCCTCACTTCAGGCCTTTGGCATCCTTGCCTGGAAGAG